GCCTGGCCGCTCCACCCGCCAGTGCCCCCTCCGCGGGCTAGGTCGCTGCCCCTCTCCTGGCTCACAGACAGATTTTGGGGGGCCGGGCGCCGAAGATTCAGCTGCTTCTGGGGGGACTTTCACTTCGCCAGAGTTGAAGTTTGGAAACCTTGCGGGTGTGGGGAGGGGGCGCGCATTCATTTCTCCCCTGCACGTGGAGGGGGTCCCCAGGAGTCTCTGGGGGTAACTCAGCCGCCCTGAAAGTTGCAGGAAAGAGTTGCCTCCCGCTTCCAGAAGGCAGGGTTCCCCCGTCGCCGAGAGGGGCCTGATTTACACAGCCCTGGCGGATGGGAGGGAGGGAGGGGCTGGGTGAATCACTCTCTTCTCGCTTGTGGGGTCGAACTCCTTCTAAAACGGGGCATCTTCATCTTCCCGGGGTGCGCAGGGGGCGCAGCCCCGGAGATGCCTGAGGGAGCAGGTATTGGGTGTCCTCGGAGGCGGGGCCAGGTCCCCAGGGTGCAGTCCTGGTGCCCCAGGAGGCGGCCCTGGCACGACAATGGGCTGCTCTGATTCCACGGCGGCGGGCGCTTTGTTGGCGGGCGGGGCGGCTGGCCTTGCAGCTGTCGCATTTTCCCACGATCGGGGGAGCCAAGTGTGGCCACCCCCACAGCGCTGCCCCCTCGCTGAACGCGTTTGAACAGCAAGACAATCCTGGTGGCTGGATAGGGGCCCCAGCCCAGCCCGGCTCCCCAATGAAGACGGGGTGGGGGTGCGGAGTTTGGGATCGTGCCCGGGGCCCTCTCGGCTCTCCCCGCTGCTCTCCAGGCGGCGTTTGAGGCCACCCTGCCCCGCTCGGAGCGCTCGGAGCGTGCCTGCTGCACCTGCCAGCTCCTCCCGCCCCTCATTCCAGCTTCCTGGGCAGAACATTGAAGCCCCTTGGGGTTCATGCAAGGGCTCCCTGGGGCAACCCCATCAGACAGACGATGAGGTGAGGGGTGGGCCCTGGTGCCTGGGAGCTGACCTCTCCTCTTGCCCTTCCCCAGGCCTGCGATGTTCCCAGCCCAGCGAGACCTGCTTGAATGGCGGGAAGTGTGAAGTGTTCCCCAACGGCACGGAGGCCTGTGTGTGAGTAGCACCTGCGCCCGCGGAACCTGTTGCTTTGTCAGAGCGGAGCCCCCTGCCTCGGCGGCAGGGCCGGCGGGGACAGAACACTAGGCCATTGTCTCCTGGAGATGGCCCAGAAGGCTGGGCGCGGTCACGTGCTACTTTTATTGGACAGAGTCTGGCAATTACTTAATCACCCCAGTTATGCTGTGTGCGGAGCTGGTCTGGCCCCGGAGGGTCCGGCTCTCCTTTGTGGGCCACCCGGGTTCCTGGGGTGCTAAGTGAGAACTCGCGGTACCCCATTTCTTCCAAAGGTCCCCGAGAGACCATTGGCCTGCCAGGGCAACTGCGGGCCGTCTATAGAGGGGCCCAGCCCCCACCCTGCCAGCCCAGAAGCACCTCTGGCAGGTGAGCGCCCGGGCCCTGGCTCAGGCTCCTCGTGCCTCTCAGCAAGAAATTGACTATTTCAAAGCCAAACCCGCCCTCCTGGGCCCAGCTTGCTCCTCGGGCCTCAGGTGCGGCCTCAGGTGCAGCCGGGGGATAAAAAGTTGGAACTAGTGGGTGGTATCGGCCGTGCCCATTTCTTTTGGTTTTGGGGGGTCGGGGGGACCTATTGGAAGTGTAGTTTCTGTCCTGGCATCCGCAGCTCTAACCCGACCCCCAACCGCCTGGCCCCTCACCCTCGAGTCAAGTCTCGGGTCCCCCGCTGTGAACGGAGCATGTGTTGGGGAGGGGGGTGCCTGTCTGCCCGCCTGGGAGTCCCCGTCAGCCTCGGGGATGTTTTTCTTGTGTAGCAAGTGCCCTTCAACTTGAATGCATCCCTGATGGGAATAATGAGGAGGCCGCTCGCAGGACAGAGGGAGGCCTCCTCCCCCTGGAGGCCGCAGGGGGAGCGGCCGCCATCCCGCCGTCCATCCGGTGCGCCCTCATTCCAAGCGCCGAGGGCCCACTCCCCTGACAACCTCGGCCAGTGGCCACGCAGCCCCTCGCCGCTCCCCCTGCCCACACTGAGGCCAATTAGGCAGGCCTGTGAGCCGCTTCCTGGACAAAGGGGATTGTGTCTTTGTCAGATGCTAATGAATGCACACTACTTTTTTTTTTTGCTTTTGCTTTTTTGGGGCCTTTTTTCCTCCTCCCGCAGAAGCCTCACCGACGCGTGATGCCCTAAATCTTGTTTCCCTTCATTCAGAGCCGACAGCTGGGACCCCGTGGAAGTGCAGAGGCTATTGTCGGGGGAGGCGGATTAATGCTGTGTGATTAATTATGCGTGGCTTCCCAGAATGCACAGCTCCTCCCGCCAGCCCGCGCCTGCATGGGGGGGGTGGTGTCTCGGTGCTTCTGCAGAGGGTTTGGGGCAGGCAGGAGGGTGCTGTGCTGGGCAGTGTGGGGGCCGGGCCTTCTCAGTGCCACCAGGGAGCAGGGACAGCCTGGCCCGGAGGAAGCTGAGGTCGCCCTGGGCCGACGCCCGTGCCCCGTGCTGCCTGGGCCAAAACGGGTGCCTTGGGGTACGGGCTGCTGCCGCCGCTCACCAGCCTCAGGATGAGGCATCAGGGACAGAGCGACAGAGCGACGTGCCCTCCCCCCCCCGAGCCTGGCTGCCTTGGGGGCCCTGCCACCCCCTCCTTGGCGGGAAGCCCGCCTCGGTCTGGCCTGGCACTCGGCCGAGCTCGGCCCACAGAGACCCCATTGTGCACACCCACAGATCCACTCGGAAGAGGAGCGGAAGCCGGTCCTCAGGGGCCTGCCTCTGGGCGGGGCCGTGTTGGAGGTGAAGGACCAGACCGGGGTCGGCCCCCGCCAGGTCCAGGTGTGCAAGGGCCCAGGTCTGGGCACACGGTGCAGTATGGGGGTGTCGTGGCCACTCGGGGACAGGGCCCCGCCTCCCTCCGCTTTTGAGGCCTGTGCCTGCCTGCTTGCCCCCACTCCCCACTCTTCCCCGGAGCCCCCAGCAGGGCTGCTGGTGGGAGAGAGGCCCATCCGGTCTGGCAGGGACGCTGCCCTTGTCCTCCACGGTGCCAGGGTGCAGGGCAGTGGAGCCGCCGACCTGGGCCCTTACGGACCATGCGTGGGAAACAGTGGGCCACGGAGCCAGACACGTCCGTACCTGGTGAATCATCCATCTCCACCCCGAAGAGAGGGCCACTCCCCCAGGAGCTGCCATCAGGTGGCCCCGGGTTGGATCGAGGCGCAAGTGCAGACGTCTTCCCAGGAAGTCCCAGCACCCCTCGGCCGGTGGCCAGGAGGACGGGCCTTCCGCACGGTCCGATGGCCCTCTGTGCGGTGGAGGCTGGAGGCCTGCGGGCAGCCGAGGGCCGGGCATTGCACCTCGTGGCCGGTGCCCTAGGTGCTGGGGGGGTACTGATGTGGGCTCCCCCTTTTTGTTTTTTTAAATGTATTTTTATTGATACCAGAGAGGAATGAGGGGAAGAGAGAGAGAGAGAGAGAGAGAGAAACATCACCGATGAGAGAGAAGCACGGATCGGCTGCCTCCCGCAGGCCCCACACTGGGTATCGAGCCTGCAGCCCGGGCCTGTGCCCTGAGCGGGCATCCTGAGGCCCTAGGATGACGAAGATGCTCCCCTGCTTGTGGGAAAGTCGGGGGACCACAGCAGCGGGCCAGCCCCATGCCCAGAGCCCTGGAGGAACGCCCGGCTGGCTGGATGGCTGGCTGGCAGGCGGTGGCCTTTAGCTGCGGACCCTCCTGTGTGGGACGCCTGGCCCTGCTGCCCCAGCTCTGTGACCTCAGGCCGCAGGGCCAGCTGAACACAGATCCCCGTCCGTGACGAGGGTCCCACACACTGCATCCCTCGGGGGTGGGTGAGGGCGCACGCAACAGGCCCCTGGCGGCCCGTTTTCTCCCGCCTTCTCCTTTCGGGCTGACGGCGCTGGTTTCAGGATCCTCCTTCTCACGTGCTGAGTTGGCTAATGAGTGGCTTTGGAGGACCTGAGAGGTGCTTCCTGGTGGGCCGGCCAGGCACAGCCTGGGGAGGGGCTCGCCCAGCCGAGGAGTTAGGCGCCCACGATGCTCCACGCAGACACGAGGGGCGCCCGCAGTGTGCTGGGTTCTGCTCTGGGCCTGGGCCCGGTGGGCTCAGGTTAACAGCCTCTGCCCGCGTGGAGTCCACTCTCTCGTGTGGGGGCAGGAGAAGCGAGCTCACGGGCGCGTGACTGTCAGGTGGAGGTGAGCGCAGTGGGTGGGGCAGCTCCCGGGGACCCCGCCACCCCACGTGGCCCCAGGGACACACCGCAC